TTTGCCTGGTTCCCTCTGAATAAGCTGCTTTTCAAGCTCACTTTAGTGAAAAGTGGCCCAGAATTGTCCAACATAGAGAAAGAGGACACAAGAAATAACCATTTCCCTTTTACATGGAGACATTTCAGCAGGGCTGAGCAAGCAGACATTTGATGGGCTTGTGCCCAGTTATCCCCTAACAACTGAAGTGTAAATCCCTATTTATAGGAGAGCTCCAGTCTAAACATAAATGTGATTGCCACCCCCAAAAATGGGTCTTAAAAGTAAAAAACCATGACAGGCTGCAACATACAGTAATAAACAGCCAGTGGTTTTGTACACATCCCAGGAAGCCATTTGGAAGCACTCGCTGGGATTTATTTTCCTGTGAGTTTCCTGAGGTTAGCGGTTCCCACCCCTGCTTGACACTTAGGTTCAAGTCAAGCTGGCAGAAAAAGAACGAGGTCAAAAAGAGACTCCGCTCTGACAGAGAGCAACCCCAAACCCATTAGTTGCCTGGGAGGAAGCTCAGCACTGAGTCTGCGAGTTACTTATGAGACTTTTTGAATCTTTCCACCGTATGACAAAGTGCAGTGAGAAATTACATACTGCAGTTTAGCGTACATTAAAGCTAAATTTGAATGATCAGCCATTTTTGTTCAAAAGACTACGCTAGGATGCTGGGAAAAGAGCAATGATGACTACTCTCCTGCAATACATTGCTTATTTAAAATAGACTGCTCACCACATGAAGGTGAACTGGAACTAAGTTCCAGTCCTCCAAGAGAGAGCAGATGTGTGATGGCGTGTAGCAAAGAATGAATGTCAAGAACACAGAGGAGGCAGGAGTCATCATCCACTCTAGCAGCGATGCTCCAGTCAAGAAAAAACAACAGAAAAAACCAAACACACAGCATTTATGAGTGAAGAAGGGGTCTAAATGCCTGTCACAGACTTTAAATAAACATAGAGCACATACTAAAGACATTCTTAAAAACTATTCCTTTAACAGGAAGGGGGTAGCTGAGGAGGTGCATGAGAGGCTTAAAATAAATTATTTTAGAGTTCTCTTCATTAGTCTCTGGATTTTGAAATACATAGTTGGCTTTTTCAAACTTGCCTCCAAAATTGTGAGGGCTACACCAACAGCTCTCAGCAAAGGCTAAGCCCGGTGTCACCATACAGCTGTGTGCAGAGCTTTGGATCTGAAAAAGCACCAGTATCTCTATTCTAACACTTTATTTAAAAAAAAAAACAAACTCAAAAAATGCAGGAATAACAACACACAGCTTTTATATTGATTTCTATTCTATTGTGATTTATTTTTTTAATTGTCTAGCTCTGAGCAGTGTTCCCCATTTCTTCTCGACTCAGAGGTTTTACACATGTTCTCAGCAAGCAACCACATCTTCTGTCCCGCAGCCATCCTAGCCATCAAGCTGCAGGAGCTGGGTGCTGGAAATTAAAATGGTGAGCAATGGCTGTGGTTGTTTGTGAGCTTTCAGAAGGCAAAAGCATTCTCAAGGAGCCTACAAACACCACCTGATGTGCAGCAGAGCAGATGTCATGCCCTCTAGTAGGGCAGTGTCGCTTTGACAAGAGCAAGATGTCTGTGCTGGTCGCCTTTATCACTTGAACTTTTTCTTAAATGCCACAAATACTTCTGGGAAGTCATTAATGCTCATGTTGGAGGGCATCAGGATAACTCTGAAGACATGAAGTGGCTTTCAAAACACCGCCCTCGGTCTACTGAGGGGACTTGCCTTTGCCTTAGAGTCTCCACTGAATTGCTGATTCTCAGAAGGATCAAGATTGTTCATTTTATTGCAGCTGTAACCTTTTATTATCCCACCACATGAAGGTTATTTTTTCCCAAATACTCTGATCTCACAGTGTGTTCCAAGCAGACATTCATTTATCCAACAGAGGTACAACATGCAGAAACAAAAGGTCAACGTGACCTTTTTTGATAAGCTGGAATAATGATTAAACTACAATGCAGAGGATCTCTAAGAAATAGTTGTCTGTGGCTTAAAAGTGTCATTAAGTAGAAATAATCCAAGTAGAAAAAATATGTATGTATCTGTGTCTATAGACATAAGGTATATTGCAAAGTTATTTCTCTCCATATGGATTGGTAAGAAAAATGTACCTAAACTATACTATTAATATACTCTTACCTAGGCTTCTATGTTGTTCTGATCAGCAGGATATCTGAAGGGATTTGTCTAAAGGACATGTCTCTGCCATGGATGTAAATCTACTATTATTTATGCCAAATGCATTTGTTTTTCCACACCTGTAGCATACAGTGTCTCAACAGGGTGGGGAGCCTTGCCTTTAGAAGGTGCCACAGCTGCTTAGAATCAGAAACAAATACAAAAACTGCTGAGGGCCATGGAGAATATTCTCTTAAAAGTCAGATCACATTCCAGGGTAACTGCTTGGAAAAGGATGCCCTGCGAAATCCAGGAATGACACGTGCCCCCCAGTAGTCCTCTGACAGGGCACATAGTGTTAAAGCAATAAAGAATTGGCTACTCAGAGATGCTCATTAAGTGCAAACGATCTCTTGCTGCCAGGATGCTACGCCCAGCACACCCTGCCTTCTGTCATGAGAGAAAGTATTTTCAGCGCCTCTCTTCCACAGCACAGCCACAGATGACTGCAACATGTCTTTGCTCTCCAGGATTGATACTCTGCCCAGGTTCTCCATCCAAAACCAATTTTATGGCACTTGGGTCGCAGCACTCGCTGTTCTCTGTCCTGCCACTATACTGGTCCCCAGATGCCCTCTCTGTTGTTCTCCTCCCCAAGGAAACCCTCCACACATCCTTTATACTGCAGGCTGCTGCATGGTACAGCCACTCATCTTACAGGGAAAAGACCAGTAAACATCCTATAGCCTATACTCAATTGACAGCTAAGAGCTGCTTTACATTTGAAAGCAAGTGATAGTAGAGAGCTCTCTATTACCAGGATTGACTGGAGATCCAGAGGCCACCTTAACTGATATTGCCTTTTTCTCAATCTTCTGTTTGCTCTGACTTTTGTTTTTCTAATATGTCACTCCTGGCAATCACGTATTTTGGTTGTGTAGCACGTAATGCCCAGAAACTGACTGCAGATTGTTTGAAGAAAATATCCTCCCTAAATTACAGTAAGCGTGGAAAAGGACAGCAATGAGCTGTAGATATCATAGTAGAGCACCAGCTGCCAGAAAGGTCATTTCACCTTAAAACACCCTGCCAGCTTTCAAATTCAAAGATCATGGCAGAGCCATGACCAATATGCAGGTAGGACAATCCCCAAGAAGGCTTAAACCAGCAGCAGCTCAAGGAGTCAAAGTACACAGAGATGCCTACACATGGGAAAGCTCCTCCTAAAAATGAGAGCAATCAGAATAGCAGTGGGTCTTGCTGAGAGGAGGGGAACAGTTTACACTGTCACATCTAAATAGTCGTAACTTCTAACATTGTATTTATCTCACTTGTAACAAGTAAGAATCTTGAGGGAATTAAATCCACGGCAGTTTCTTGCCAAGTTTTGGTATGGACATGGGAACTGCAGTAGCATGGTCAGAAGGTGGCCAGAGAAGAGCCTTGGCAGCTTCTCATAGCAAGCATATTAAATGGCAATTCAGACAAGAAGTAATGAAAAAGGCCCTACGCAGTCAAGAGTGCCAGAGGCTATAGTAAACACCATTAAATTAGGAACATAAATAGTAGAACAGCTCAAGATAGCAGTTTGCCAAGTATTTGTGTTAAAGGTTTAAGATAAGTACTGGGTGGCAAGTTACACTTTGAAATTATGTATTTGGCACCTTCCAAAGTAAATCCCTAAAAGTGTCACTCATCTGGAAAGTTAGTCAAGTCTTGACAGGTGTTTTAAACAACAATTCGATTACATCCGATATTTCCGCTGAAAGTTTCATGAAAGCTAAACATCTGAGTTTAAAAATTTGGTCTTCTGTGGTGTTTACTTTCCTGAGCCAATCCCCGCAGCCAGCAGCAGCTGCATGGACAGCACAGTCAGAGGGAGAGGTAAGGGGCTAGGGCACAGGGGCGGTAGTTTGGGGCAAAATCCGACATTTATAGTGTGCAGGAAAAGGCAAGGAGGAATGTTTTTGGGGGCGGGGAACAAGTGGGAGCGTGGGTGAGAGAGGGAGACCTGCGCCTGAAGTTGTCCTGTCTGTAAGCCCCATCACCAAACACTCATTCGGTTATCAGAAACATTTCAGAGCCCTTGAGATTAATGGCCGGTGCCATGTAAACAAAGCCTTATATTGGGAAGACAGAGTTACCGGCAGGTCAGTGCACAGCAGGAGAAGACCAAGGCGGGCTCCTCTCCCTTGCAGTCCCGGCAATCTCTAAACAAAGTCAGTCACGGGATGGGCAACAGTCTGAAAGCCATAGTTGCTTTTGTGCCCTCCGACGAGTGCCAGAAGTACCTCCTGGAAGACCTAGAAGAGATGCCAGTGGACAAAATGGTGGATCTGAGCGGCAGGCAGCTGAGGCGGCTGCCTCTGCACATTTGCTCTTTTAGGGAACTGGTCAAGCTGTACCTGAGCGACAACAACCTGAACCATCTGCCCCCTGAGCTAGAGCAGCTGCAAAACCTGCAGATCCTGGCACTGGACTTCAACAACTTCAAAGCGCTGC